GTCTTTCTTTTGCAGAACCCTTAGCCATGAGACGAGACTAGGCCTCCGGAATTCAGCTATAGCTTTTCAGCGCCCCTGGAAAGGTTCATTTCAGTTATATGATCCATTCCAGATGAAAGGACGTCGACAGGCAATGCCGTGAGATAATTCAAAATTGCGATGCTCCGCTAGCTTTGCGGTGCATTCCCTTTTTAACCGGAAATAATGCATAAGTTCTCGCCGGAACTATATTAATATCACTGAGAGGACGTATGCAAAAATATCTCAATTTGCTTTACATTTGATTTGCAATTCAAATTAAATTTGAAACTTTTCTGACAATTAAGGAAACATTTTTCCCCTCCGGGAATAAAATATAGATTTTGAGCTTTAGGCTCTTTTAATTCACGGTATGGTATTTCCTTAAAAAGAGGAAAAGAAAACTTTGTTTTTAGGTGAAGCCATAATGAGAAGCTCCCTAGTTCACATTTTTGCACAAAAATTTTAATTGATGACCAGGAAAGTCGTGATCATGTCTGGATCGAGAAGGGGTGTACATTGTGACATTGGTAGGAAGTTTGTTGCAAACTTACAAAGTCTTAAAGCTATGAGTCAATTCAATTTGTTTATATTTTATTCTATAGTCTTATTAGAAAAAATAAGAAAACAACTGAGACAATTAATTAGGCAAATGAATAATACTTGCGCCAAAGGTAAATAAAGTTTAGCTTTTGTTCCACAAACTCAACTTCCCTGTGTGGCTTAATGCTCCATTAATAGAGGTTGGCCTGAGTTTTGTAGTGGATTATTCAGGTTGATGTTGCCGACAGGAGCTGTAGCTGAATTTTATTTCGAGGCGCTTTTCGATCGACTGTCGTAGAGCTAGAGGGAAATTACAGCCGATCTAAAGGCAACTGACTAACTAAACGAAACCCACTAAAAGCACGGGAAAACGCGGATGACTAAGTCGCAAATTGGCATCTGACTGGTCCAGAGGATGGCTTAGTTTTAATCAAGCGACGCGCAATGCTATTTGTACACAGAGTTAAATGAAAAGCAATCTGAGAAAACCATATAACCGGACTGAATTTAAAGCAAAGATCTCAAATTCAATAAACTTTTGAGTGTACGAGTTACAAGCTTTTGAGGACAAACATTCGTGATAGTAATCCCAACGTTAAGGTCAAACTGAAGACAACAGCAAGGACACCAACTAAAAGCGCGGGAGAACGTGGGTGACTCAAGTCTCAAGTTGGCATCTGATTGGTCAAGAGAATGGTGCGAATTTTGACCAAGTGATGCGCATTGCTTTGTGAGCAGAGTTGAATGAAAAGCAATCTGTGCAATGCTTCAGATCTGAATTTTCAGCAGTATCTCAAACTCAGGAAAATTTACAAGCTTTTTGAGACAAACATTTCGTGAAGAGGTTTGTACCAGTTCATCGAGAGGTGTAAGGTCGTGCTAAGTCTGCAAATTATGTCCTGTCGTGGAGCTTGTGGTCTTTGGAGAAAACGCGGCTCACCGTATTGAATTGTAATCCTCGCAGTCGCAAAAAACTATTTTCATTTATTTAAGTCCATTTGTCTAAGGTGAAACCTTTTTAAGGCAAGAAGCCATTTCAAGTATTTCAAATTAAAGCTTTCCGAGAAACGTGCATATTTTCAAATATGCCAATAATCAAATTGCATGCTTTGTTGAACAGAATGAGGAAAACACGTACTACTAAAGGCTGCTCGGAAGGATTTCATGGACGAATTGTGATGTGACGAAAGTCCTCACCGGGAAAATTTATTTGATTGTTTTCAAAAGTCTCCCTCCACCGCGCCAAGATTTGCAAGAATTCAGGAAATGAGGTACTTCATTGTCGTTAGTGTTACTACTATACAATAATAAGGAACCTGAATCTTGTAAATCTGGAGATATGTTTTTGCAAAGTAATGCCACATCTAACTACCTTTCAAATTCTCGCGAAAGTAACTTCCAGCGAAAAGAAATTATCTGTCGCAGTACTTTCCATATAAGACCAAACGACGGTACACCGTGGCACCATTAACGTAGCATAATAGAGAAGGCAAAGAAAGATGTCATTCGTTCAGTCACTGGTAGGGTACCGAGGAAAATCTGAGTCTGCCTAGAGAGATTGAACCCCAGACGTTATCATTATTCGTAATCTTATGCCCTAACACTGAGCTAATGAGTAATGTCCTCAGTAGTTCTGTCAGGCTAGGACATTACAAGGTTCACTGATATGTCACATCTGCCCAGCAGGCTGCCTGGATCAGCAATGTTGTGAATGGCACAGCTCAAGAAACATGGTAAAATACAGAAAGGTGTCATTTGTTTAGTTACAAGTGTGGCACAAGACATATAAGATCTCTATGATACTGATCTAGTCAACATTTTTAATCTCTACAGTGCAAATAAACTTTGTAAGCAAGTTACATTTCCTGCAGGAATTTATTTTTGGTGCAACTTGAGTTTTGGAAGAATTTATCACTTGATGCATTGTAAACTTAGCTGTTGCAGTACAATGATTCAATTAAGAGAGATTCATAAGAATTAATAAAATATAGAGCCCACTGATCAGAAGCCACTGTTTCCAACCAGTTGGAGTTCATATTTTGTCTGCAACACAGCTTTCAACCTTTGAGGTGACATCAGATTGAACAAAACATCATCAATCAACAAGTCTGTTGGTGTAACTTCATGACATTCACGTGGTTATCTCAATGAATAACTCAACTTTTTACAATCCCTATCACATAAGCTTTGCTTGCTAGGAAGAGCAATAAATAATATGAAGTTGACATGAAGAAAGAAATCTAATTCTGAAAACAAGATTGTAAGCCAGGACCTTCTGATACTCTACCAGCTGAAATAAGGGGCTGAGAAGATATACTAGGTTTGTATGAGACATGAATCCTATTCATTCCAAGGAGTATTAAGATATATAGGATATTGGAAATTTTCTGAACTGTTCAACTGAGATGTCTGACAATGGCGTAAAAGATTAAATCTGATTTCTAACTGTATGAATCAATTTTGCTCTGTGAACAAGAGCAGGGAATGTAAAAAAAAATTGATTTCCTCAAGCTGTCATTTAACTGTCTTTTACAATTAAATCCATGAAAAGAAAAAACATCTCTATGAAGCAAATTACTGTATGCCGTCAATATGCAACTTAGATTCTGGATGTAAGTCTACGTGAATGAACAAAAACAAGAACAAGAACCCGTAGTCGAGAACATTCAGCAAAAAAGTTGGATATGGATATGGATTGGCAATGTGTTTCTTATCCCACAAATGGTATTGCCAAGATGGACCCCTGAACTGGATAATGGAAAGCGCACCTCTTTGAAGGACACGCCTTATCTTTGCAACATGTTCGAAACCTTTTCCCAACAGCGGATCTTCAATAGCTTTTGTAATCTCAAACGGGTACTTTTCAAACCTTCCCTGGAGAGTTCAGGTTTTTCCATCGAATCATCCGTGGGCGAATCCTCCGTTCCTTCCGAGCCCACTGGAGTGACCATTTCGTTCGGTCCCTGCTGAAATAACTGAAATATTTACCAGGGCCACGGCTCCGGAGTTGTAGCGGCCTTTGTGATGGCTCCAGGTCATTCTATCATCACCTTAAATTGACTCAAATTGATTGATTGATTTGCTTCCTCATTGCCTCTCGATAAGGCCTGCAGTTGTACTGAGATGTTGGGATTCTTCAGAATATTGTTTCATGATGGAGAACTTTACCGCATTTATCTTCAGTTTCAAGAACCGAGCTAAGGAAACTGGGATTCCCTTTTCCGAAAGGCTCTTGAAATAATATTCTGCCTCGTTTGAAGTGCGAGTTCTTGGCCTTCCTGTATCACTGAGTCGCGTTGTTCAGTTCTCGCGCCAGTCGATGATCTGCAACACGTTTTTCATGGTTGCATGGCAACCAAAATCTATTCACTGGAAAACAAACCGCAGAAGGATTTCCGGTCGAAGTCAGCTTTTATGCTTTGGTGGCTGAATTGGAGTTTTTTTCCATTCTATGACAAGCTTGGCAGTATGAAAATTCCCTGAAATGCACATAGTCTTTCTTGCCTCTAACTTCTGTATGAAGCCTTATTAAAACTGAAGATTGATGAGTTTTGAATCATGCTTCCGACAGAACTTGACCCTTTTACCCTTCTCGTGAAGGTATGCCGACAACACTCGGTTGTAGAAGTTTCCAAACATGATCAGCTCACGTAATATCGAACCGGAGAACCACAGTTTTCTGATATTGTGATCTAATTTTATCGCTCTGGTTTCAGTGAGTGTCACGTACCTTGTTTGAGGAACTATCACGATTGATCACGATTGCCCTCACAACACGGAAATACGACACATTTTTAAAATTACTCACGATACGGATTTAGGAAATGAGAAATAAATGCCAATTAATAACGTGAAAGTAGAAAAATCTGCGATGAAAAAATTTTATTCAAGGCAAAAGCGAAATATCACGACCTTAACTTTTATTTACGTCCTAGATTCTTGTCGAGCAATTAAATTAGCGAGTGAGTAGATTCCAATTCACTGAACACGAAATATCTCCTTCATAATTTACACATGAAAAGGCAAGTGAGACATTTTTTACATTTGGAAAACGAAAGACAAAACCATTGGTAGTTTGTACCCTAAGGGAAACATAAACTGGGATAATGAAATTCACCTTAGGTAATTTAAATACTTTTTCTAAACAGCATGGGATGAGGACCAGTCCCAATTAAAATCTCCAATTTTAAAATTGAAAATATTATTTATAATTTTGCACCACGGGAAGCGGAAAGGAGGCACGCGCAAAAAGAGAATAATTGAGTTGTTTGGTTAATTGCATTTTATACACGTTGGTTTGCGAGATGACATCCAGTCTATGTAGATAACTTTAGATCACACAGGAAGTGAACGAACAATATTTGCACGTCTTAGCGCGGTCTATTGTCTAAAGGGCTTGAAATGAGGAAGAAATGTGCTCACGTGATTTGAGGAATTGTGGGAAGTGATTTGCGCTGAGTCCTTGCATTTGTTGTACGCTTTCTTCGTAAGAGTACTCGCAAAATGGTGTAAATTGTGTAGCGAAAAGTTCCACTGACTAGCAATGGATTGTACAGAGGAAGAGGACACTCCTCGGCTTAGTCCGATGCCGAGGGATATTCTGGCTCTGCCTGCGCGAGAGGTTCTTTCATATACGAAAATTCGTGATCCCTTGTCACTTCAGCTGAACATGGTGGGCGCCTTGAAAAATTGGAAAGACGTGGCCGATTTGCTTGGGTATTCTGCTGAGAGAATCCTCGGTTATTTCGCTCACAATTCTCGACCTGGATTACTGTTATTGGAAGACTGGATATACAAAAAGAATGGTGTTCTTGAGACACTTGTGAATATCTTGAGCGAACTGGAGTTTTATTCTTGTCTGGGAGTAATTCGCGAATGTGTGGAAGGTACAGAGATTTTGTCATGTTTTCTTTGTTTTTTAAGAACTTCCTTTCACTTATTTGCATCAGCAAATGTTTATTTTATCATTTTGTTGTTGGGAAATGAGTGAAAAGTTTAATTTAAAACGGTTGGTTTGATCTGACGTGAATCTTTACCTTTCTCTGCGGATTTACGTCAATCACGATTTCCAAGATTAGAATTGTGTGGGTGAAATCAACTCGGTTGAATACGAATCACGCTATTCTTAAATTAATGATAAATCTAAGATCTATCTCTGTTTCATTTCAAATAAAGCTTTTTGGTTTATTAATTTTCGTTGAAGTGGAACTGGCGGAGTTTGAATTAAATTGGGTTTAATTTGTGGAGAAAGGGAAGGTTAAATTCTCGGTAAGGAAGGCTGTAATTAGAGCCTTCCTTCTTCCTACACAGTTAAGTTTTTAATAGGATGAAATTGCAAAGCGTGGAATATTTAGGTGCTGTAAAAGGGTCAATTTCTAGTAATAATGCTGAAAAGTTTAAAAGCTTCTGTGGAGGACTAAATGTACGCAAGTATTAATCTTATTGCGGTTGATGACCTAATAAACTAGCTACCTCAATACATTGCCAACGTTAATTTATGCCATTATCATTACTTCACTTATTCTTTGCTCTTTCGTCTTTTTACTTCTTTGTTGGGAAAGTCAGTTTATTACTATGCTATCGATTATATTTTAATAGGTCTTTTTAACATGTAATAATCTGGTGAACTTGTCAAGTTTCAGGTGAAAGACAGTTAAGAGGTTTCATTATTTTTTTATTTTGTCACAATGAGTAACGGTGATGTTAAGAAATCCTATTTGGCTTTTGAACATTCTTGTTTTTTGTGTGTATTGTTTTTATTCATTTTTCTAATAGCTTTGTTAAAAGCAAGGATGCATCATGTGGGTGACTAGATTTTTTGGAACCTAATATCGGGTGCATGACAAGTTATTAGAATGAAGATCTTGAAATTCATAAGGTTGCTTTTATCTTCCGCTCCTTGGTAATTTGAATATTTTTCTCGTGTGATTAGATTCATGTGAATTCTTTTACTTCCTCTTTCACTCTAGAAGATGCTGCCAGCTACATTTTATGGTTTCTTTTCCATGCCTTGTTTTTTTTTTCTTTATCAAGAAATTCATTATTTTTCTCTTGCAAGTTTAATATAGTAGTTACATCCTGCTGTGCTTAAAATTCACTCCAATGCCAGGTGCAAAATCAAGAGTTCTCTTGATTGTAGTTCACCTAGCCTGAGTCATGATAAACATCACCAGTGCAATATTGATATGAACTCTTAAATCTAGACAAATGTACAGATCTGGTATTTGTGCAATATTAGATTGTTTCTAATGGAGCCTGAGAATTAATTGTAAGAGCAAGGTCACTACTTACTACTTGTCACCTATTAGTAGTGTGCCCAAAGACAAAAAGAAGATCTATTCAATGATCTTTTAGCTTGTAATTACAACTGAATTGTTTATCACAAAAAATCTTTGAAAAAAGTCAACAATTGACATAGAAAGAGGATTATTATAGTTGTTTACGTTACAAAGAATATACAGTGTGAAAGATTAAAGATGTTGATGGGGTTCAATGTGGATTTCAGTTCACTAATGCATGATCTGTTGACATGATTAGAGATCATTTGTTTTGTGCTGGAAGGAGAGAAAAGACTAGAAAAAGTAGTGAGCCTGAACTAATCAAGTCCAAGTTGAGATTTATGCAGTGTTTTTGGTCTTAATTCAAACTGAGATGAATAGTGGTATAAAATGTTATTTTAGATTGCAGAAAATGTTCTTTTCTGTTCCTAATTTATTTGGGTATATTAAAATTTTTATCTCTGGTGATCAATTTAATATTTTAGACTGACTAGTATTGACTGTGAAAATAGTTAAGCTGGGGCATTTAACCCTTTTACTCCCATGAGTGACCAAGAAAGAATTTCTCCTTATAATATCAATTCAATATAAAGCATAGAAGTGATGAGAATAAAGAAAAATATTAATTCAGGGATTATTAGTTGATCCAATACCAAATTCTCTTAATTGACATCATAAGAATTCCATGGTAGATAGCAAGTAGAATTACTAATAAACTTTTGGAAGTTGAAGGGTTAAGATTTTGGATAGATGTTCATTATTTTATTGTACTCTCTGTGGCATCTCTAGTTGCTGATTGAGGGGATCAGCTGTAAACCCTGTGAAGTAACCAACAGAGATTGTATTTTTTTGGGCTGCTGGCTCTTGTGTACAACCCTGTGTTCTTTAGATGAAAATCTCTCAAGAACCTCATTATTTTCATGATCATTTCAGATTATCAAAGAAAGTCTGGAACAGTTAGCAGGCAGAATGGAGTTGATAATGATGATGATGGGATGGGTGATGTACAGGGAATCCAACCTGAATATGGAGGTTGTTGTGTAAGTGAGGACAGTTCAGTTGTTTCATCAACAGACTTAGAATTTACAAACCACACTTTGTTTACGTCACCTGAGTTCTCAACAAGTCCTCTACCATCTGCAGTTGCAAATTTAAAGGATAAGACTTCTGGGGGTATAAGTGTGCATGACAAAGACCTGCAAGGGAAGAGTCTTAGTAGCACTAACTTATGTGTGCCAAGCAGAGTTGCCGAAGAAGGGGGCACCACTACAGGAAGGCCTGGACTTTTTAGGTATAGCTCTTGGTCACCAGATGCACATCTTGAGAATGAAGACCTGCTTAAGTCTAACCAAGGTGGAAAGGACTATATGCGTTCAAATTCCCATGAACCAAAGAGTAAATTGAAGGATAGGAAGAAATCTTTTCGGAAAAAAATTGCCAATATGTTTTCTACAAAGAGACACAAGAGATCATCTGAACCATCTAACAATGAAGGAAACTCCTCATTGGTAAGCTCTGGTGAATCCAACTCAGACACATCCATGGTGACGTCATTCACAGCATCAGACTCTTACAGGGAATCTGTCCAAAATCCAAAAGAAAATCTCTCTCCCCTTAAAGTAGAAGAGGCAAGGAGGTTGTCCAATTCAGACAGTGTGAGCTCAGGAGAATCTGCAGCTTCCCCAACATCCCTAGGATATGAGTCAGGATACACGTCATCCCCAGAAGGTATGTAACTTTGACTTTTCACATTGGTCTAATGTATGTAATTTTACTTTTGGGTGTTTTGTACATGGCTACTACAATAATTTAATCTTTTGAAGTTTTAGGAGGTAATGATTAGCCAAAAATCTTTCAGTCTAGTCTAGAATTCACCACAATATATGATTTAAGAAACAGGTGAAAGAGATACCATTGTGATGGACACAATTATTTAAATGTTCGGATTGATAATTCAATGAATTGGTTACAGGTGAATCACAGTTACCATTGTGTAAGTCCAAATTGAAATCACCAAACCATGTTAACCAAAGAAACACCAACTGACTTTTTTTTTTTTTAAATGATCTAGCTCCGATAGGTTCTGGAAAAACCATCTCCATCATTCACTGTTCGCACCTGGAAGGAAAAGCCTTTCAAGAGGAGGTTTCTAAATTGTACTATCATTTTAGCAAAAACTTGGGATACAAGTGCCATTTGGACAAGCTGGAGCTTGTTGAAGTTGCTGAAAATATGTTCCGCTGGGCTATGAAAAGTGTCCAGCAGAGTAATTTTGTATTCATCTGTGTTTCTCCAGAACTGAAGAAAATTTTTGATTTGCCCTCCAAAGAAATCAGTGACAGTCTTGAAGGTTTGCATTTGAATTATTTTTAGATTTTTAATTTAAATAAATAAAATAGCAATGTTCTTTTGTTTGTTTTGCATTATAAAACACTATTGTATGATTCATGTATGTAGTAGCAAGTAATTCTCCACGCAGAGAGAAAGGTAACTTGTATGTGTGGTCATTGTAGGAACTTCTCTTCTCTAAATTCCCTATTACAAGTGTATCTTATTCACCCTTTCCTTCCATCAAGGTTTTGTCTTACTTAATACTGTTTTTTGAGAAGAGATGTTGTTAGTGCATTTTGCATTTTTAGTCACTTAACCCTTAAGACCCACTAGTGACCTGGACAGAATTTCTCATTACATTATTAGTATGATGTCAAGTAGACAAGTAATGAGAATAAAGAAAAATGTCAATTAGGGGATTATTAGTTGATCCAATTCCAAATTCTTCAAACTAACATCATTTAAATTACACAGCGGATAGTAAGGAAAATTACTAAAGAAATCTTGGGAGTTAAAGGGTTAAGTTTTAACATCAGGGCATTTACATGAACAATGCCTTGTATTAGATTGCTAAATAATAAATGTTGCAAGGGGCACATGCTGGTGTGTAATAATTTATTCAAGATGAAAGAAGTGCATTTCTTTTGTTGCCTGGAAGCAGTTACTGACAGGTGTCTCTCCTTCAACATATTATTTCTTACTGGTGATCTTATTTTTAGATGATGAGGCATGTATGGTTCGACTTGAATCTGACTTAATACTGGCTGAGCTTGCCACGAATGCAAGCAACCGAAAAGGAAAGTACATGACAATCTTGCTGAAAGGATCATCCAAAAGAGATGTTCCAAGCTTCCTGAGCTTATATTTGAAGTACCAGTGGCCAGATGAAGAACGGAGGATCAGATGCATAATAGAAGGAAAACCTGAGATTGTTCCCGTACCTGTTAGCAGTGTCAAGACTGATCCAGCCCCTAAGGTGGTTGAGCCTGCCAAAATTCCAAGTTAAGGTTGGTTGTGCATTAAACTCAACTAAACATTAAATAAAAATGCTCTTTATACTGTAGCTTGGGGTCGGAGATCAGTGAACTGTAAGGTTCTGAACTGATACTTGTTTCTCCAATCAAATTTTACCTGTGAAATTGTTCTTGAAAATTTATCCAAATGTTAAGGTACTTATACAAAATAGAGGTGAGTATTATCTTAACCGTTTTACCCCAAAGGGTGACTAGCATCTAATTTCTCCTTACAATATCACCCCCAAATCACACACTAAAGTCATGAGAAAAAAGGGAATGATTAACAACTGTAAAGAAGCTCTGGACAGTTAAACAAAATCTCCTTGTTAACACCTTAAGAAATACATAGATAACAAGTATAACAGTATGAAGAATATGGATGCTGATATTAGGGTGTAAAGGGTCAAAAATTCATCTCTTGTTGACGTCATTTTAAGCACAAGGAGATAACATTTCATCTTTAGGCAAACATTAAGAGGGTAATCCTCAAATTTTGGAGAAACAGCAGGGCTTTAGAATGCAATAAAGAGTGACTATTTACAGCTTTTCCTTTTCTGTTGGATGAAAGGGCCATAGGCAAGTTTTATTATTAGTCTTTAGTTTTCTCTCCATGGCTGAAATAGCAAGGGAAAAAGCCTCTCACCTGCTATTTCTTATTGTAAATAGACAAATAATAGATGAATAAAATCTTTTGTGGATAATATCAGTAAAAAAAAAAAATAAAAAAAAAATAAAAAATAAAAATATTGAATGGGATTAAGGTTGAGCTGTTTTCAATAAGGGGTTACATTTTTACACTGGGGTTTCTTAGCTTACTCTGGACTAGAGTTTTTAAATGTATCAAGTGAAGAGATCCTATCACTGATAGTGTGAAGTTTCACCTCATCTGAAATTGTACTATTTCCTTTGTTTTTCAGGGACAAGGAAACATATGCTATTGCTGTACCTGTTAGAGTCTCGCTTACATTCATCATTTGGCAAACAGAAAAAGCCAAAGAAGTCACCAATTTTTTTTAATTGCAGATTGAGGATTGACTTACTTCATACTTTGTGAAAGTATGCAAAATTATGCATATTCTGTAAAAATACTGTACTGTACTTGTAGAAAAGGGTTAGGAACCCAGCATTGTATAGATGTGTTCACTTTATAAAGCCAGCATGGTATCGTCAGTGATATCAAAGTATATCAAAACCTTGCTTATGACCTTGATTCCAGGTGCCTATTTTAGAACTCCAGGGTTGAATTAAGAATGAAGCAAATTACATATGCTCTTTTTACTGTATGACAGGCTATTGCATATACAGATCTTTGGGTGATTTTAATCAGTGCTCTTCACCAAAATATTTTTGTACTAAAATTGTAGGGAGAATTTAAGAAGTGATCATTCATGAAAGTGAAAAAGTTTCAATACATCCTCCTGTACATGGTATGATAGTAAGATTGTATGATGGATTCCATATACAGGTATATTTTGATGAGTCCAAGCAGTGTGAATTTTTAGTTGGATCAAAAGATCAACAATTTGAACTGTTTTTATCCAGAAGATGCAATATCTTTATTGCCAAATGGAATACTTTTATGAAGGTACTGTACAAGTGTTTGTAGAGAATGAAAGAATGACCAATTGTGTAGACAGATGCGAAGAAGCATACTCCTGCTTTTGCTTACTCATCTCGTAGAAAACAGTGGTGTGGAGGAGAACATGGAATGTATAAAATATGTTCCCTCTTCCATATGATGTTATGCTATATTTTGAAGTACATGTACATGTAGGCTTGTGGCAATGTAGCTACAGTTGTATTGTGGATGCTGTAAAAGCACACATGCGCAAAGACGACCGTGTTAATCGTATGTTTTGACCATATTTATAGACTATGTTAATCGTGCAAATTCAGACTGAATAAATTCTTCAGCAGGTTCCAAATTTAAGGGTTTTTCAATTGCTTGTATACATTGATTGACTCAAAAAATTAGCTGATATCAGAAAGTAGCTATTAGGTAAGTAATAGTTACCACTCTTTGGAATAATTATTTTCCTCAGGCGCATTGCATCTCTTGCAATAATCCAATGAGTCCCATACAGAGATATTTTCATGTGCAAGATTTACTTTTTGTTCTTGAAATGCCCCACTAGGCTTGGATTGTTTAATTTGACTACTAAATGGTCTCTCATGTGGTCAAATTCAAGCCTGCGTGCGTTTTCAATGTGCTGTTTGTATGTGTCACTACGGTGCTAATGAATGTTTCATGAGGAAGCTTTTTTTGTACATGAACACTTGCCAGCCTCTATTTCATGTTTTACATGTAGGGTAGAGATGTACCTAGATGTACTTACACTGATTCTGTAAGGAGCAGTGGTCTTAATATACCCAATAATGACCATTTCGTCGATATTTGACAGTACATAATAAATATTGTGATTAGACTCAGCACATGAAACCCCTAGGGTGAATGCCTAGTACAGATCTTTTAGACTGTTTCTATTCCCAGTTATAGACAACTGGACAAAATAATGTATTCATCTCTTATGGTTTGAGAAATTGTTTATGTGTAAATATTAATTCAATTCATTTTAATTGTTTTTCCTCGATATTACAATTAAATCCTGGTTTTAAGCTCCCACCTGTTTTCAGTTTGGTATTGTCTCAATATGTACCGTATTTCTTCGCCTATAAGCCGAGCGATTTTTCAGTATTTGACACAAAAGTTTGAAGATTTTTTCACAAGAAACGGGGTTCGGCTTATAGCCAAGGGTTTGGGATTCAAAACAATTACAAATTTAATGTTAATGCGAAATGACCGTAAATTTCGTGATTGCAGCGCTCTTTACGTGATTTGCTTTTAAATTGACATGATAACAACGTATTTCTGACCACCAATCAGATTCTTTGCTTCCCACGCATTGAAAGACGATCTCACTCAACTCGGCAAAAACTCTCCTCATCGCACTTTACTAATGAAGTATTTGGTCTCTCTGCTGTGAAAGTCACTCCATCGCTTGCTCGTCTAGTTCGGGACACTTGCGAGTGAAACGGCCTATTTTTGCACGTTTTGCAGACATCTTAAGCTTGCCAGAAAGAATAGTCGCCTAGTCTCGTCTCCAGCGTCGCACTATGGACTCGCTAAGTCCGTAATCTCGAGCCATTTCCGAGCTGTTTTCTACAGCTTCAGCTTCCGCGATAACTTTTATCCTGAAAGCTATAGTATACGAAAAGCGGCGTGCTTCTGGCATGATGAGAAAAATAACAGTGACGAAAGAGATACTCGATTGAAACGTTTGTCAGGCTACAGTAACTGTTGTGTTTCTGCAGTCGCGTAGTAGTATTTACATCTTCACTGATTCGCCTTTTTTTCTTTTGGGTTTATTCTCATTCGTTAGCTTTTGTGTTCATTGAGCCATTTCCCAATTTTTTCCGTGAGATTCGCACACTCAAATGGTCGGTTATAGTCAAGAATTTCGCTCTCGGCTTATAGCCGATGGTTTTGCTTTTTCTTTTGGATAACACGAGTCTGTTGGAAAGTCCTATAACTTTTAGGGTCTCGGCTCATAGCCGAGGTCGGCTTATAGGTGAAGAAATACGGTAACATTCGGTCACGGTATGCGTTACTATTCAGAACATTTGACGTTATCCACTCAAGTGATAATGTTAAATTACCCTGTTATGTGAGCCCGATTTGCAGTCGTATGCTCTAACCCTCTGATCTTCTGGGCAGAGACTGGGTTTCGTAAATTAGCCCGTTACACAAGAAAGACAGAGTTTCTTTTTCAATGCTCATTTATTTTTACTACACGAAGAGCTTCGGGTATGATCTTTTATAGCAGATCATTAAGCCCTTTTTCATCTCTATGTTTTCACTAAACTACACGCTTAATTGACGCTAGACGGGTCCGGTCCATTGTTTTACAGTATTCCACATCTACGTGTCATTCTGTCGGGCAGTATGTTGGTCAAGAAAGTTTTTCCGTCACCGCTGTTTCAAGTACTTTCCAGCTCTTGACTACAACTTGCTTTTAATAAAGAGCATTGCATCACAAATGATTTGTGACGCAATGCTCTTGATTAAAAGCGAATCTTGAGAGTGACAAGCAATTGGTCGCATAACGCAATCCGTAAAAAATGTTAGAGCAGAAGTGATCTATCGTCCTTCGTGATGTCCTTAAGAGAGGGAGATAAATAGAAAACTAAGAGAAACTGAAATCGTCCACTATGGTTTAAGTCAAAGTTAAAGTTAAAGATAAATCAAACCGTTTAAGCTTAACGCGCCCTCCCTTAACCTGAACAGGCTAAAAGTCCGAGATTTCAATTTCTTAGAATGTGTTGGTGTATCGAAAGAATTGTTGTTGATACGTTCTCTACTTGATAAAGAAATCTAGTTAGTTAAAGGGGGCATCTGTATGCATAAGAACTTGTCTAGCATAAAAATTTTCCTCAAGTTTGCCAAAGTCAGGGGGAAAGATGGGCAAGGAACATTGTTGTTTGGTGAGTACTGAAAGTTTAAGATTTTTCGTCTCCTTCATTGTCCATGTTTTGCTCTTTGAACAGAAATCGCTTTAAAATAGTTCCGTGGCAGAGATGTCGGTCATATAAAACTACAACACTTTTTTCTTGACAAACAAACAAAAAATCACCAATCCATGTAAAATTTTCATGCTACACACGGGTATGGGTTGTCTGACAAGGTTTAAGTTGTGAGCGGCCTCGTCACCAATGGGTGCTTAGAGGGCGTTTCCTCTGAGTTGTGGTGCAAAAGCTTAAAAGCTTAATATAGTCCATAAATAAGAGGAATTTCATCTATTCAAGGTAAACAAATATGTCTGGCAAACTGTAAGTTAAATCTTTGTTCACTCTATGTGCCTAATCAGTCACTACGAACCAAAGGAATATCTGATCAGTTCAGAAAGAGGTACTAGTATTTTTTTTTGAAAGAGCAAACTTTAAATTTAGAGACTTGAGAGGCACATTCTACATAAAAGTTTCTACGTAGTTTCTCCCTTCCCGGTTAAGAAGTTGTGAGGGTTAATTGTCTGGTGTCCATAGAGTCAGTTGAAAATTTCACCCGTTTATGTGGAATAGTTTTGTTTCATCGTGTGACGGTTCTTCACTGGCGGCCAAGTGTCTTCTCGTCTCCCGGGTCCAAATCGATGTTTCCCCCATACGAGGTCCCATCCACTTCCAGCTACAGAATGAAAATACATTAGGAGTCATCCTTAGATGAAAAAAAGGTGTTAAAATTGACTCTCAGATAAGTATTCTATCGAGAAAGAAGTGATATTAATCGGGGCGAGGGTATCGCGGATACAAGGCCGTTATAACCCCACGCTGAAGGGATTTGGGTGGATTAATAGACGGAGAGAGAAAGAATGTTGGTGACATGAAAAACGTGCAGAAATAAGCCAGCTAGCCTACCTTTGAGACAAACATTAACTTTGAATAACATAATCCAAGCTACAACTGTCAATACAAGGCATATTGCAAACAAGGGATAAGTACGACCTCGAGTTTGTAAATAGATATAGAAACTAGATCTCCTTAAGTCATTTCTGAACGAGGACGTAAGACAGCGGTTCAGAACCGGTGTAAAGTTTTTGTTTGCTCTCAGACGGGCTAGTATGCGGGGCAATATTTTTAGAAGTAGGATTTTGCGGTGACCGGAATAAAACAGTTACAATCAGATTAGGAATAAAAGAATAGGGTTAGAAAACAGTTAAACTACCACGGTTGCCTACGTCCACAAGTATGGCTGACATTCTGCTGTCTCCGAACATACCGTAAATATGACCAAAACGTTTCGTCACGTGTAAACAGCAGGCTAACAACAAAAATTGTCAGGCTAAAGTGGTTGTCCAAGGAAATTGTTTATAATGTGTTGACCAACTTATCAAGTTTATTGAAAGGGGAATTAATTGAAGAAAGAAGAGCTTGAGAGAATGGGGAAATGGATCCCCTGAAAAGGCCATAATCCAAATGTCGTTCCTCTCAGGTTGATTTACAGCAAAGTGTCCATTTTTTGCCTAAAGTGAGGGAAATTGCCCGCTGTTCTCACATTTCTGCTTCCTGTCATTCTGAATCAGCTACTTACGTTTCCTAGAGTATATCCTGCCAAGCTAAAGAACCTTTTTTTCTTCTTCTTCCTTGTGTCACTCGGGCATCTTTGACCCTCCTCCACTAGGCGTACCTTCACTTTCGTTATTTCTCCCACATCTTCAAATGGCATATTGTACTCTTCGTTACTGAAAAAGGAAGAATTACATCCATAGATTACTCCTTTTTCTTTCTTAGTCGAAGAGAGAGGGTATGGCCCTTTTTTGCACTGACCTCTGGATCAAAAGGGTCGGGAAAGATTAGTCACTGTAGAGCTACCAATTACCTCTCAGATATTTTAAATCCTAGAAAAGTTGACAGATACCTTATTGTGCCTCTCTGCATTCAAGAGCGTAAATGGTTATCAGCAAAAACGTTGAAAGAAACCTACGTTTTTTTTCCAAGAGCCGATAATGTTTACTTAGCTCCTTACAGGAGAATTGTAATCCAGAAACCATATAATTTTTAGTACTCTCATTACTTAAAAAGGGTATGTTAAGATATTTACTGGTTAGCGAGCAATGCCGGCATGAAGTCAGCTCGAATGATGGAACCCACCACGCGTGGGTTACCAATAGCCATTGCTTTGGTTATCGCTGAAATAATTTTTTTGAAATGAAGATCAATTTTCTGTATAGCTCATGTTACAAGGAACGGAAAAACGCTCAAGGATGAAAAAAAGAAGGAAAAAAAAAAAGATCACGACCGGTTCAAAATGACGCTGCTCGTACTTCAATTCTTAGCACATTTAAATCATTTTTCGGAAGGCCAAATCACTCTTTGGAATCTCAAAACACTGTCAGTGCCATGGTTTCATGTATTCTTTGTAGCGGTGGAGATTAAAAGGACATGGTTTCTGGAGCATACCTCTCCTTTAAAAAGAGGAGATGAATAACATTGTTTCTTACGCTCCCCGTTCCTTTTCATCCTGGATCCGCCCTCCAGATGTGAGAGCCCTAAAGCTTGTCACCCCTTTGGTGCCAATCAGTTGTAGACAAAGTTCTGCATCAGTTCCAGATCCCCAGCCAGTTCCGGTTTTCAGGTGGAATTTGTGATCTTTGACTGTGAAAGCAACAATTTTTTGTTACAAGTAACTATACTCAAGCTCGCCTCGAAAATGATTAGCAGATTTCAAACTAGACCGTGGTGCAAGTGTTAGATATCAGGTAAAGTCTACACAAAAAATTCAAAATGGAACCAAGTGTGGTTACCACAATGAACTAAGTTTCACTCACATTTTTTCCCCCCGTTGCAGTAAAGTTTGTCGATTTTTTTCAAATCGTTGGCATCGAAGTGCGAAGTCGACCCAAGTTTACGGTTTGGATTAGACTTCGCCTCCATAGTGTGTTTTCCGTTTTTGCTAAAGGTGTTTGTATCGTACTGCATGACGCTGTTAAGGTCGTAAGAGACGTCTAGGTTATTCTGACGTCGTTTTTTGAACTCCGTATCATATATACCTGTATAAAAAACAAGTGTGAACATCGACGAATTCGGAAAAAAAGCATAGATGATTTCATTGATTTTACATAGCTCCTACGA